TAGCATTACAATTAACCCCCGCAATTCTGAACCAAAGGTCAAGAATCGGATGGCAGAAAAGCAAGCCCAACAGTCTACATTTCACAATTAATCTAAAAATTCATCGCTGAGGTGGCCATCGCAGAAGTAGTTGCAGTATTCGAATTCTGAGGTCTGTGGTGGCTAGTCTTAAATAGTGAAGAAAGTAGAATACTTGCAGGAGCAGATGACCCCAGGTCAATGTATTTTTGTCAAAATGAAATTCATGTCATGGCATTCATTTCCACAAACTTCACTAGGCTTCGTTTACCCTATTCATAATCTGGGATTCAGGCTTGGTCCAAATGGTCTGGAGGCTGTATGCTTCCAGCAATTCCAGACGTGCCTATCACAAGTATCTGGGATCAACCCAACAGAGAATGATACCAAGGACAAAGGGAACTTGACCAAGAGTCGACCCACCTGTCGAGCTGGTGGGTTTCTGACCCGTTTTCAGACTCAAACGAGATGGCTTCAGTGAAGCATCGCACTTTTGAGAGGCCCACTCCAGCCAGACCGTATGAGACATCTACTCAATTGGAGAATATTGGATGCCAAGTTGTAGGTGGATGAGAATGTGAGTCATCCTATGACTGATAGTTGAATCTCTTCCACAATGCAATGAGTAGACCTTGAGATGCAATTGAATACTTCAAAGCATTGAAGTATAGATCGGCAATATCTATTCACTTCATTCTGCGACAATTCAATTAACAGACCTTAAGCGATTTGGGGTGACTCAAGTCCTTATTCATGAACTAGTGCTGGTTTCAAAGACTATTCTCATCTTATGCTTGGTTTATACGTTTTTCGAGAATACACTTCATATTCTCATCTTGAGTGGATGATCTGCATCAGTCCCTTTACAATCCATATTCATGTCGCTCTGAAGCCTATGAGTGAAAGCAATGCTGTCAGGTTAAAGATTGTTCCTTCTGAACTAAATCACTACAGACCAAAATAAACAGGAAAGAAGAAGCGTCTGCATGTGACGAAATCCAGAAGGCGAGTGGAAAGTGGGGCAAGATCGAGTATGCCTCACTGACAAAAGAATCTAAATAGTCGAATGTGAGATCTACTGCTTCTCTCAAAAGCCAATAGACCATTCATCGTTTACGGCCCTTCTTAGTGACGCAACCCTTTCTCATAAGGCGGTCGAATGAAGGATTATTAGTCAAATTCAGTGAAGCTAGTATCACTCGATGCACAAGATACCATTTCCTTTTGACAACCAGAAATGACTCATTTCTGAAGAATGAATTGCTAAATCAAACTTTTCGAGCGAATTCATGCATTTGGCAGTAGTGATGACGTCCTATAAACTAGACAATATATAACTCAAATGACAAATGGCTATAAAACATGAAAAAATGTGACTCCGGAAAAGCATTAGATGAGGATATTAAGACCAATGCTGACCTACAGGTCAAGATACTTCATTTTTACCAGACAAGTGATCGGCTCATATAGAATAAGTAACATAATAATGAATTACTAATAATATTATTATGTCTATAGATATATAAAAAATATATACTATTATTATAATATTATGATATAGAATAGAATAGGCACAAATCCCAGCCTGATATATGTCCGCAAACATGAATATAACAGTCGCAATGATACAGAAAATTGAAAGCAGAGGAAAGATTTATACGTCAAGAAAATTAGATTCCGGCAAGTATATTGCAATGATACAAATTTCACTCAGGCATTCTGAACTAGAATAAAGGGTTCAGCTAGACTCGAATCCAAGAATGCATGCCGTATTTTTGACCCAAAGGAAGATCCATGAAAGAGGGTAATGAGGACATGAGCACCGATTTCTTCAAAGAAAATTGAGAAAAATTTGGTTTCATCAGATGCATTGGTGCACAGTGTCGCAAGTAAGATCCGAAAATGGACACCACAAGAAGTCCATTTGTATGCAAAAATAAAAAAACGGTATTATCAAAGAGAATATAAGTGTAACTGAGTAACCACAAGACCAGGAACCAGAAAAAGCCTATACTACACTTGACCTAATCCTCCTCGTGTCCAAAACCGTACAAAATGAACTATAAACAGTCTCGAGACACTTGCATATAGTTGGAACTTTCATTTCAAATGGAAATATGGATGGAACGTCTTCGTATCTCGACTTCATTAGACTGTCCATGAGTTTTACTTTTCGATTTGAACGCGATAGTCCTTGTGCGATCTCCCCTGATCCCGATAAATGGAAACTGCGCTTCCGTCACCAGATCAAGAAAACATTAATAAACACAAATATGAAGACCAGGATATTTTGGTCTTTTGTATGGTCGCGGTCTCCTTTAGTCGTACAGATGATGGCTGATCTTGCTTTCGCAACTTGGTCATATTGGCTTGAGGCAGAGTGTAGAACAACGCCTTGAGTAGCACGGATACGGTGACAGAGGTGGAGCGAAACCACTAAAACAGGCAGATAAGGGAAGGATCCTACGGAGCAAGAGGGGACTCTGATAGGACCCAAATAGAGAGAATTGCGGGTTGAACCGCAGCCTTGGATCGACATTCCCGGCAGAGTGGAAGGGATGAGGAGACTAGTGGGGAGTGTGAATAGGTTTCAAATAGGTTTAGATAAACAAGTAAGAAATTGTGATATTAAAGGGGTGATACGAGGATATAGGAAAGGTGAATAGCTCAGGACATAAGAGATACCACAACTGTTTGGCATATATTTGACAATTTTTAGTGTGGTGCTAAGAATGGCAAGGCTCACTGACGATGCCGACTACGACGCCGGCGAAACGTATGGAATTGTACCAAGTCCGTTGTCCGACTGGAAATTATCATGCATACTATGGACTCCGGACAAGGTGCGTTCCTCTAGGTCTTCTTGCCAATATGACCAAGTTGTGAAACCAAGGTCAAACAACTTCTATTAATGAACACAATCTAACAAAAAGCAATATATATATATATATATCGGTTACAGTGCGCATTATGAAATTATTGTTATTTTTGATGTGCGTCTGGCACTCATGTAGAAGGTAATGACAACCAAACGTCGGTATAGAGTTGAAGAAGAGATGAAGGAAGGATATGACTTAGACAAATGGATTACTTTTTTGCTTTATGGCAAAACGGTAGTGATAATTCAGACAATTTGCCAAATTTACTTAACCACGGGAAAATGATATAAAGAGACGTTTACAATGGAGTTGGAGATGAACCATTCACTAACATTGCTGTTTTGGTATGGTATCGAGTAGAACTAGCCTATACTAATTTTACCCATAACTTGCTCTCCAACCATAATAGCAAGGCTAAGGTAGGAATTTTGAAATAAAGGATTATTTGCAGAATGATACTGACGAAGAGGAGTCATTCACATAGAAGGTTCGGATTAAAAATGTATTTATATATAATAAATGCCAATTAGATTAGATTTACAAAGCGAACCAAAGTTGAGAATTGTGACTGCTCCAAAAAATGGAGAGTAGGGTTTCTTTCCTTACATGAGTTTTAGGCAGTCGAGGTCGCATAAATTAATGAAAGGCGATTAGTCATCATTCAAGATCTGCGGGCAGTTTTTACATTCTCTTTATAAAAGGATAGGTAGACTGTTGCAAATATGAGCAATTTTCATAAAAATTGTGACACTTTTCACGGTTATCCCGGTCTTTAGAGAAAAATATGGCCATTTATCGCTAGAAAAAATGTGCTCCTGGGCGAACTTATCTGGTGAATCCGGTCGCTTCATCCTCTAAAGAATGACATGCTTGTGGCAAGGCACATGGCAGAAACTAATCATTAAAGAGGACGATAGATCTACAACTAAGATGCTATGACCTCAGTTTTGGTAGCAGTTTATTTTCTCTGAATAGTAATGGTTTGATCTCGTTTTCGCAATTTGGTCATGTTACCAAGGCTATACAGATGCACGAATCTTGTCCGAAGTCCTCTGCGATAGTAGTTATGATAATTCTTATAGCCGGACCATGAACTTGGTATATTCCCAGACTTTCGCTGGGAAGAGTGCCTGGTGATGTGAATCGAGATGCCAGCACAGCGTGTGGGAATGTGCCAAGTCTAGAGTCCGACGCTGAGAATTATCGTAATTATTATGGCAGAAGACGTCAGACAGGGTGGATCCTCGTGGGTCTCGATGACAACACGACCAAGTTGCGAAGACGAAGTCTAACCATGCAACCATGTTGGGCTCTTTTCAAAAAGAATGCGACTCACCTAGCACAACCTCGACTACCAGTACTATTATTACTACGAGAACAAATAATAATAATAATAATACTCCATGACTAACGGTAACTACTACAACCTCGTAAGGATGATTATACTTGGGTTAAAAAGAAAAAAGACAAACAAGCCTTGGCGACTTTATGAAAGAAGTTTATACTCAGTTCTGGTTAGTCGGAACTACCACTTTGGTGCTTTAATGTAGATAGATATGATAAGGTTTGTTTAACTTGTTGTAAGCTTGTGACTTCCATGAGACTGAATTCCTGATTTCCGTCAACTGGCAAATGAAAACTCTGCAGTGTCATCGTAACTGAAGGAGGGAGGATCGAGGAACTATGGCAAGCCGAACATTCGAGTAAAAACCCAAAACAACAGAAACTCTTTCATCAGAATGAAGACCAAGTCGATACTGATAGACCCAGAGAGGTCTTGGCAACCTGCATGCCTACACAAATGCAAGCAAATGCCTGAACTATGAAACGTATCAACTCCATCCCAGGATACGCGAATGGAGCCTCTCCGGGCACCCCAAGGAGCTTTTCTCCGGGGTCTGGGCCACCAATTGGGCGGCGAAAAAGTGGAACTGACGCTGTACCGACAGCATGTGTGTCCCACTGTGGGCGGCGAAATCGAAAGAGCCCTAAATTCTCGGGATGATATTGAAAGACGGTCGTTTCGCGATGGCAACATCGGCATCAGGGGACTGCCGCCAGCATCGAGGGTTCAGTACAGTCGGCCAAGGCAAATTTGCCACAACAGACTGTCCGTTAGTTACCGGTCCAATCATCCTCGCTGTCAATCTGGGCCTGAGAATCGCCGAGTAAGCCGTCTGTATCTGCCTCCAGTGCACCTGAGCCCGTCATCGTTTGCACCGCTACCGCCAGCTCAGCGAAGCCCCGTCTTTCAGGGTTGGCGGGTGAAATGCCATCATTGCTGTCCGGTCGCGTCGCCAGGCAGCACTCTGGGAGGAGTCGGAGATTGCCGCCGGGACGACTCTTGTAGATGGGCAAAGAGGAGCGCACCAGACCGTCACGTCAAGCGGATAGTCAATTTGTAGGTCAGGCTTATGCTGTCGAACAAGATCGTGAACAGGCCTCGCTTACCGCCCGAAGGTAGGCGCCGGTTACATGTTTCGGCCGGAGGAGACGGGAACTCACCTTCCACAAGGGATGAGGAGAGGAGTGTACCAAAAGCAAGCACGATCGTCTCAGCCCGGCACGAACGTGAGAGTGGCCAACTGGGACGGTGAACCAATCAAAAGTGGACTGGACAGGACTGATCTCAAATAGCCGGGGCCAATGGGCGTCGGGCAGGCCAATGCACCAATTGGACGCAACGGATTGACGTCTGAGCCGGGCCAGCGTTTAACGCCCTATTGATTGGGTAGTAGTGAGGGTTAACTGGACAACCGGAGGGGGCGATCGGCGTAGGGAGACAGGAGATGCTTGGCCAGATCAGTGAAAGGCACTCGGTGAAGTGAGTAGAAGTAAGCAGGACAGTCTGATCGGGACAAACTTGTTTCCGTTTTGAAATTACCGCGAGGGGGACACAAGCCGGTGTGTCGGAGTTAACAGACGTATTGAGATAAGAAATCGGATCGAAACTGGGTCAGATGACTGACAAGCGGGACAGAGTGAATTGCACGAGAAATGTACCCAGCAAAACTAGGAAATGGGGCCAAAAAAATAAAACATTCCAGAGGAAAAAGTGAAGCGTAGCCATGCCAACGGGTGTAATGTAGATGACCGGATGGGCTACAGAGCGAAGACCGACAAGCCCGGAAAGCTGATGCTCTTGCATTCTATTGTAGTCATTTCAGGCTAATGAATAGTCCAGAAGACTACTTATTTCAGAAATAAGTAACATTGCCGGGTGCAAACGCAAACAAAGTGTGACAATATATGAAGAAAAGTTGGGTTTCGAGGAATCTCTTGTTTCATAGTTGTTGGGATTACTTCCATTTC